GTGCCTGCCAGGGGTCACAGCCACCCGCCGGCCTCGCCGCAGGAGCTGCTCGCTCAGACCCTGATGGACCGCCTGCTACAGCGTGTCAGGTGAGCGCGGGCTTCGCACAGCGGCATGTCCGTTCAGTATCAGTGTCAGTTCAGTGTCAGCATAGCGGCGTCAGGTGTGGGGTTAGGTCAGGATAAGGCCAGGCCGGCAGAACATCAGGTTATGACCGGGACGGGCCGGCAAAAGTTACGTTAGGCACAGCGTCGGGTCATCATTGGATCAGGTCAGTGGATGGTCGGGTCATCAGAATGCGAATCAGGTCAGCAGCAGGTGAAATGTATTGTATTTCTTTGGATGGGCCTTGCCCCCCTCCCCCTCTCCCTCCTCCTCCCCCTCCCCCTCCCCTTTTAGTATTCATCTTGCCTTTTTCCATGTGGAATCAAGCCACGAATGACTGGCTAGATACACTGAAAAATTGTAAGAAATTTGACTTTGGATATATATGACCGTCGACCATGAGATGAATTTTATTGGCTCTGCGCCTAGTCCGGTCGGAAGTCAGTATGTCAGAGTGGTTAAACTTTTAGTCACTTAAACTGGCGAGCATGACGACAGTCGAACAGTTATGGATCGAATCCGCACACAATTGTTCCCTCTCACCGGGCCCCGCCGACTGTCTGACCATCAACGCCGCCGAGCGTGGCAAGCGCCCTCCATTTGACCAGCGCGCTGACCTGTCTGACCTGACCTGGCCTGACCTGGCCTGACCTGGCCTGACCTGGCCTGGCCTGACCCTGTCCCAGGTCCGACCTGGGCACGCCGATGCCGGCCGTGTACCAGGAGGAGCTGGACGGCGTGCTGGCCTCGGTGCAGGCGGCCATGCCGTCCTACGAGCTGCTGCGCTCGCGGCTCTACCGGGCCCGTCAGAGCCGACGTAGCCCCGCACTGCCCGTCCGGCGGCGCTGCCGGTCCGCCAGCGACGCCACCCAGCGCACCGCCGCCGGTGCTGCTACAGTGATTGACGCCGCTGACGCTCCCGCCGACGCCGCCGACGACGAAGCCAGCAGAGCCGACGGACCTAAGGGCGCTGACGGATCCGACGGAGCCGACGGAGCAAACGACGCCGACGACGTGGCTGACGGTCCGTCGGTCTCGTGTGACACCAGCGAGTCGGCGGAGCGGACCGACGGGGACACCGGGCTGGGCAGTGACGTCACACAGGGTGACGCCATGGTGGTGACGACGGAACTGCCGGCCGTCGAGTACACGCAGTCCCGTCGTGGCCTGCCCATCATGCAGTGCAACTTGCACCAGTACCGCAGGTGGCAAGGTAGGCGGACAGCGCAGAGGTGTCGCGGATTGAAGAGCTTGTTTTTGCCTCCGGCCCGTAGTTGTTGGCCTCGCCTTTCGCCTGTACTGAATACGCTTTCATTGCCAAAGCTTTCGTAGAGTGCTCACTCTTTTTTGTCTCAGGTCAAAAGTTTTGCGCTCTGTTACGACAGCGCGCGTGGTTTTTAATCGTCAGTCTTAACATCTTCCGTAATGGCTGTGATCCCTGCAGTTGTGGTATACTGCGTTCAGATGAGTCATTAAATTGTCCCAACCATTAAGGAGCATGCAATTTATTCACTGAACTTACCATTCCCCTGCGCTGTCTCTGCAGTGTAGCAGTTTTGAGTCTGACCCTGCCTGTCCCGGTATGACCCTATCTGACCCCGCTTGACCCTGCCTGACCCGCCTGACCCCGCCCGTCGCCAGTGAAGAAGACGGACCGGGCCGTGGAGTACTGGACGTGCGTACGGCCGGCCTGCCGCTCCACGGCCGTCACGCGCGACCGGCTGCTGACCCGGCTGCGTGAGCGACACAGCCACCCGCCGGCCGGCCAGGCCCGGCGGCGGCGCGACGCCCGTCTGGCCGCCATGCGGCAGCGCGCGCGCACCGAGGCCACGCCCATCCGGCTGATCCACCAGCAGGAGCGACTGCGTGCGGGCCAACCGGCCGACTTCCCGCCGCTCGAGTCGGTCAAGACAGTGCTGTACAGGGACCGGCAGCGCGCGCGCCGCGCGGCGCAGGTGGCGCCACCGGCGCCGCCGCCGCCAGCGTTCCTGCTGCCGTGGGGTGCCGAGCCGCCGCAGGTGGCGCCACCGCCTCCGCCTGGGCGGGCGCCTCCGCTGCGGGTGGGTCCGGGCCAGCTGGCGCACGCGGGACTATCGGGGACGGCTGATCTCATGGGTATCCTACAGCCGACGCTCATGACCCATGGGATTTGAAAGGGAGTGGGCGCGGCGTTGCTGACTGCACCAGCCGTCCGTTGCGACGGTTCTTGGTTGATGTCACTTTGGTCACATGATGTAAGGTCTGTGCACTCGGACGATGTTGGAGGTGACTGCTGTGATGTGCAAAGACCTCAAATATGTAGGTTGTTCCGATGCAATGATTGTGATTGTGTTGCAGTACAATGTACACCATTTTACCGTGGTCCGTTTTTTAGTAGCTTTGTGGTTTGAATGTGATCTTACGTGGTCTCAGTACTGGTCTCCTCTCATGATTTGGTGATACAGATGCCACAGTTTTAGGACATAGAGCCACGTGAGTAATGTCTTACCAAAGGCGTCCGTTGCCTCTGGTAAGTGGGCGGGCATGCCATAGCTCGGTCGTACTGTCGTTGCGCGGATAAAAAATTGTTTCCCATTTATGGGAGAAAAACGTCGTCAGTGAGGCAAAAGTCTCGAACCGAAAGTCTTCCACATAGTTTGATATTACTCACAAGGCTCTTTATGTAAAATTCATGACTGGGCAAGTCACATTAAAGGGCTTTGATGCTTTGAAAACCCTCCCATGCGGCACACGGTCATGACATTCATGATTGGCAATCATGGCATCATTCTTCCCAAACCAACCGAAATGAAATATCTCTATGAAATATCTCTGTGTGAGGTAAGCAGGTTTTTGCTTACCATTGCTTACCCACAGGTGTCTCCGCTCGACTGTGTCTTAAATACTACCCGATTTGGCGTGAAAAATTGTATTGGTATGTGAAGGCATGAAAGCTTCTGTGAGCCGCGAAACGGCACCACTCGGGATTCCTTGTGATACTGCGATGCTATGATGCCTCAAGCACGTTGCAGGCTTAAATAAAATTGTGCAAGATCTTATCGGCGATGTTGCGTTTAAGATGCTGTGAGCATAAGGAAGTGACGATGATTTGTTTTCGTTTCGCATTAACCGCCTGTCAATCGCAAGTAGAGGCGTTTTAGCTTGGTATGAGCGGACTATAAACCGAAAACACCAAGTTTTCAGAAGCTCGTGGCCTCAGCTATTTCGTTAAAAAACGAACGCGTTCGACTGTTTGTGGTGTACTTATTTATGTAAAATCAGGATATCTCTCGGCAAGGTTTTTAAATCATCAGCCACCAAAAACGCAACACATGTGAACATATCGTATAGAAAATACTTTGCCGTGTCTTTTGAATAAAGTTAGATTTCCAGTCGTCCTAAATCGCAAGCATGCCTCACTACCTAACGCCGATGTCAAGCATCACCATGCTAACGTCGTGCAGGCTCAAAGCCAGAACGCCGAGGCGGCCGCGGAAGCGGAAGGGCGGGCAGGCGCCGCCGTTTCAGGTGGCCGCGACATCGGTCTGCGAGCCATCTGCCTGCCAGAGCAGCCCCTCCGCACCTGAACCAGTGGGCGACGACGCTGCTCCGCCGCCAGAAGTCCGTCCAGAAGCTGACGGCCCCTCCACACCAGATTCAGAAGGCAGCGCTGTGCCACCACCGGAGGTCCAACCAGAGCCAGAGACCACGCCGGCAACCCCTGCCGCCGAAGCAGACAGTCCATCCGCACCGGATCCAACAGGCGATAATGCTGCACCACCACCAGATGCTCGTCCAGAACTAGACGGCCCCTCCGCACCGGATTCAACAGACAGCGGCGTTGTGCAAACAGCAGAGGTCAGTCCAGACGCAGACAACCCCTCTGCGCCGGATGCAACGGGCAGCGGCGATGTGCCACCGCCAGAGGTCCCAAAGGTCCGTTCAGAAACAGATGCCTCAAGCACCAGCTGTTCGGTCAAGGCCGAATCAGCGCCTTTGCTGCCCTCGAAACCCGAACAGCGTGAGCCGGCAGAAAAGCCGCCTGCCAAGCGTAAGAAGTCAAGACGGAGGGAGTCGCCTCGGGATTTCAGCAGGGAAGAACCAAAGCGAAAACGTCGCCCACGCCGCAAAAACTCGCGGCAATGTCGAAAGACAAAGGCTGCCGGGCGGAGAGTGCCGTCCAGCAAATGCACGTGCCGACGGAACAGCCAGAACTCCGGCTGTGATGGGTGCGTATAAAATTGATGTCTTAAGTCCAGGCTAGATGGGTTAATGTGGCATGGGATGTTTCAAGTGATCATAAGACCGAATTTCCCGGCGGCAATTACCCAGATAATGGCAAATGGCGGCATGGGGACACATTTGTCGATGCATTCGGCGATTTACATTCGCCAAGCTTAGACAGGTCAACGTATAACAAATCTGATTAGCTTCGGCTACTCTTCAGTTCTCATTGGCGGGATTGGGGGTGGGGGTGCGTGGGGGGCGGGAAGTAGCAAATAACGACACCAACATTTTACGTTTTGGCTTTTGGACTGGGGTGTCTGGTTTTAATGCGGTAGATGAGACTTCAGTGGTCGCCAGTGGGCTGACCTCCTTCCTGGGCATGACTTTCGGAGGCCGCAGGTGAAACTCGCAGGGATGCAACCAGAACCTTGACAAGGGGGAACGAGGTTTACAACTGGACTTTTGATAGACAAAGGCCCCTCAAAATCGCCGGATATGACCAATTTGTTAATAAGGATTTGTTAATGATGTGTTTCTTTAATATTCTCCTTTCCATTTTTACCATCTGTCACTGGAACAGGAGCCAGAAGCTACCGCGAACTCAATTTTGCCTTCACTTCATGGTGCATGCTCTGTAAAACATCTTGGGTTAAGCGACTGCATGGAAGAAATCGCCGGAGCTCTTGGCCCAGTCGGTTCTTCAGTGGCCCAGTAATTTTACAATGGCCCAGTCGGTTCCTCATTGACCAATAGAACTGAGTAGCTTCGCCATATTTTTTCACGTTGCATTACAAGCATATTGGAGGGGATGTTTCACGTTTGAAAATATTAAAGCGGGCATCAGATATCATGAAACAAGCTCACATAACTATTGGTATACTTTTAAGTGGAAAAGACTGATTAAGAGAACACATTTTCTCTGTTTACTAAATATGCTTGTCGATACGTCATCGTACCTTACACCATAATGATTGAGAGCCGGTTGATGGCCGCTATATCAGGGAGTCGTTCTCTGGAACGTGAAATATGAATGACTTGGCCATTATATTTTGTTGGCCTTGATTTCCGCTTGGCTTTTGGAATTGCAGGATTTGAATGGCATTATTATGTTGTCATGAATGCCAAGCTGACCTTGAAATACTGTTCCGAAATAGTCTCCCCATCTTTACGGGCGTATCCCTCAGAAATTAGAGGGGTTTAGGTCTTAAGAAGGCAGGGGTGTGAGCTGCACCAAATGATCTTCAAGATAGCTATTTCAATTCAAAACCCCATACAAATATGGGACATTCCCTTTAAGGATCACGCGAATATAGAATACGGATCAAAATGGGTCAACAGCTGGTGTTAGCATTGCCGAACCATGTTTGCCTACAAATGTTCAACTTTCAGTCAAAATCGATTAGAGACAAAAGATCATGCAACGAAGTTTTGAACGTGCGCGCTCGAAAATCGTACCTCCAAAAATATCAACGCAAGGCGTTGCAGTTTAGGCCACACAGCGTCGGCTCCGTGGCTAACACTAAGCCGTGGCAACAACGAAGACGCATCTGAAAAAGTACTTTCGAACACTTAAGGATATGAAATGGTACAATCAGCAGGTAGTCCGGATATATATTTCACCCGTGCGATTTTAGGAGTGAAGATAAGAGCGGATTGGTCTTTGCAGCACTGTGAAGTAGTGATGAAATCGGGTGGTGGAATTGGAAGAGTGAATGCAGAATCTCTATTTTTCGTGTTTCTGTAACCAAGAATCTGTCCACAGCACAACCTCGAGGTTGTAATGAAAAAATACGACCATTGTAATATTCAAGTGGCACGAAATAATTTTGAAAGACATGCGGAAACATAATTTCATAGCTGTTGTTCTGATGCGTACGGCGCCCGCCGCCTGGTGTTTGAAGTGACCAATGCCCTTCGATTTTACGGAAACTGCAACCACGGCCATCAACACTGTGGGCCTATGACCGGTGCAGGAGCTCGGCATTGTTGCAGGGGCCAGGACCAATGTAAATCTCGTGGTGCTGGTGGAGCACCTGTCTCAGGAATCCCCTATCGGTGCAAGAGGTTCTCTAACCGACATTTGAGATCACGGCCTTTTCGGGCGGGGATCAGTACGTGTCCTCTAGCCAGCCTTTTGTGTTCTTCAGCCTTCCAATGAGGTCATTGACCTTTTGGCCCCGAGAGACCCGTTGGTCCCTCTTCGGGAGCCGTCAGACACCGCTCCTACTGCTGCCCCTGACCGACACTCGACCGCCCCTCGTCCTGTCAGGGACTCCAAACATTCGCGGGCCCGGGCCTAGTTTCTGCTTAGAAGATGGGTCCCAAGGGCTCAAAGGGGCACAGGGTCGGCTGTTTGGCTTCGTGTCGAGGCCCTATAAAATAGGCATAGAGGACCCCAATAAGAGGGCCCTTACCAAAGGACCTCTGACTGAAATTTTAGGTCCCGGGATTACGGGTGTGGGGGGAGGGGAGCACAAATGTAATCGAGCCCTTGATCTTTGGCCCAGGTGGGTCACTCGGCTTCTCTTCGGACATACCTAAACAAAGCCCGTGACCGACTCGGGGTCACTACCCGACACATGACCTCCTGTTGAGTACTGTGGGCCCCTGACCGACACAGCGGCTCCGACTATGGCTTCAGGGACCAACCCAATGAAAACCGTGGCCCCGGCCCTGCTTCTGTGTGCGAAATGAGCTCCATGATCCAGTTCAGTTCAGTTCACTGACAGGGAGCCAACTGTTCGGTGTTGGTGGCCTCTGGTTGACTTAGACACCCGCATTGTCTCAGGAGCTACTCATCCGGTGCAACGGACTCTCTGACTGATATTTCAGGTCACGATCCTACGGGACGCGATTTTTTATGTGACGTACAGCCGGCCCCTCGGACCCTTATTCCTTCCAACTGGGCCTTTGATCTTCGGTCCCGGTGAGCTCCCCAGGCTTTTCTAGCCTCATCGAACAATGCCTACGGTCGACTCGGGGCTCCTCACGAACACAGGACCCCCTGTCAGGCGGTGCTGGTCACTCGGGGCTCCTCACCAACACAGGACCCCTGTCAGGGGCTGCGGGGTCCTGACGGAGGCTGGTAACCCAACCAATATAAATCGCTACCTCCGGCTTTGCTGCTGCCTCGGATATGAACCATCAGGTGCATGCCGACACGGAGCCGACTGTGCGTTGCTGGTGGCGTCCTGACCCACATAGAGGCCCTTATTGACTCAGGGGGCACCTGATCCCGCAGGGCCTTGTGGCTGGCATTGGAGTGCCCGGCCCGGCGACCCGAGGCCCCTGAATACGACCTCTGGCCGGCCTTTTGGGCCCTTCGGCCGTCAGATCGGGCCCAAAATGGTAGATCCCGAGGGACCCTTGGGCCCCTTGGAACCTAAGCGGAGGAGGTGGGGCACGTGCCCCCTTAACCCCCTTCCTCCCCACTGCCGGCGTCACTGGAAACTCGTGACGGCTTATGCTTAGGCCGTGGTATCATTTCAGATTAATGGAGACAACCCGATGACGGCTTACGCTGTCTGCGTGTCATTTCAGATTAATGAAGACCACATTCTTTCCGGCCAAGTGACAGCGCCCCTCATGCCGTCGACACGCTGCTGCTCACCCCAAGGAAATAACGCAGCGGTCGGGAGCCAGTCAATGAAACAGTTTCAATTTGGACACCTGAATAAATTGTTAAAAAGTCGCTTACATTCGGCGGGGTTTTCCCTGTTCCGTGGCGGTTTCCGTGGCGGCATGGCCGCGGGGGTGAAGAGGCTGCCGTGGATGGGAAGATGCCGTGACGGGACGCAAAACATACACGTTCTCGTGTGGTTACGGTGCCGCCATGCCACACAGTAGGCAATGTAGCTTTGACAGCACGTCAGCCGGCTCCCACTGAGGTCAGTCGCATCATATCACACGGCACTGCTCTTCCGCTCCACTGGTTGAGCCTGCAGCATAGTGCCGAGGGCTGCCAGCTCCCCTCAGGCCCTATGTCACCGCCCCGGCGCGGTAGATGGGTGACGGTACGTCCCTGGCGCAGGTGGCTGACCAGCAATGCTCGAGCTCCCCTCCCTACCCCCTCCCCCCCTCCCTCCCCCGGTCATCTCCCCCCCCCCCCGAGGTCGAGCAGCAACGCCCGCCGTCATCGGCGCAGACACCTGGCTGCCTCACCAGTCGGTATGTCACCTCGGGTGTCCCGCCGTACGGCATGCAACCTCGGGTGGTCCGTCGGTCGGTATGTGACCTCGGGTGGTCCGCCGGTCGTTATATAACCGCGATTGTCCCGCCGGTCTGTATGTGGCCTCGAGTGGTTCGCCGTAGGGCATGTAACCTCGGGTGGTCCGCCGGTCGGTATGTGACCTCAAGCGGCTCGTCGCATGGTATGTGACCTCCAGTAATCCGCCACACGGTATGTGACAGTGGCCATGAGCGCGTCTCTGCCAGCCCCAGAATAACAGCGACAGAACGTGGCGTCGGCCGCACGCCGTAAAACGACGCGGCGCGGCGCGTTAATGGCGCGCCGCTGTGCCGCCGTTGTCGCGCGGAGGTAAGCAGGAGGAGGGCAGTGTCAGCGGTGAGGGAGAAGTGAGCGGAGCCTGCGTGATCCCATGAACTTTCTCACTGGCAGGTCCGCCTGCTCTGCCACACTTGCTCTCTTACTGTAAGTTGGAGAGCAGATGATGGAATGTGAGTAGAAGCATAAAGCACAGGCCCGTAACAAATATAGTAAACCTTTATCTTTCCGCGGTCAGTAGCATTCCTGGCTGTGTCTATGCTTAGGTCTATTTTCTTTTTGGCTAGTGTCTGGTCAAAGAGGAAATAGACTGCTTCGGAAGATTAAACACTTCAGGGACATTGGCGATAGTGCAAAGAAATATAAGCGGCTGAGACAGCTGTTTGCGTCCTAAGAAAAACAGCACTTATCGCGTACCTTTCACATTGGTGCCCAGAGTAATCATCGAGGCGTTAGCGAACGGTCGAATGTGAACCCAGCAAATCCAGCCGGTCCAAAATCGCAAAGGTCGTGGCATATTGACAGCACAGCCGCGACGCTGTGGCCGGTCACAGCCGGCACTGGCCCGGGAGCCGACTCTGGCTGCCACCCAACACCGGCTGGGGTGCCACTCTGGACCGGCGACGCTGTGGCCGGTCACAGCCGGCGCTGGCCCAGGAGCCGACTCTGGCTGCCACCCGACACTGGCTGGGATACTACTCTGGACCGGCGACGCTGTGGCCGGTCACAGCCGGCACTGGCCCGGGAGCCGACTCTGGCTGCCACCCGACACCAGCTGGGGTGCCACTCTGGACCGGGGTCTCGCAGGAGCCGGCTACAAACCCAGCCCCGAGTCGGCCAGGCCGCAGCCTGAAGACGTGAGGACGACAGGGGGGGGGGGGGGGGGGGGGCAGTATTCTTGATAGGGAACATGGTCATGAAACTATCATAGCAACACATAGATAAAAATGATTGAGAAATCAGGCGTTTCACAAATGAGTTACTCGTATATGATCATTGGTAAGCAACTTCCTGATGTGCCTACCGCTGCACCACCGTAAGGCATGCGGACGCGGTAACCGGGGAATGGAGGCAGAGACTGAGACCCACAGCTCTCTGTAGCATTGGTCCTGCGGTCGCTGACTGGTGACGATAAAAGCACCCAAGCTGCCTGAAGATCACAGAGTTCACATATTCCGTCCAGGTATGCCCCAACACCGTTCATGGTGCGGCCCTGACAAAAGCGACTACGACATGAGCTGGGTCCACTCGATCCGGGCGAGGGCGATACACGTGACACGCTGCTGCTGCGTTAGTCCTCCTCTGTGTCACCATCAAAGGGCATGACATGGAAGCAAGCAGCAGATATGATAAAATAACCTTGAACTACACCAAATGATCTATAAGATGGCTATTTCAGTTCAAAACTCCATGCAAATGTGCAGCACTCCTTTAAACAAAACAAGTTTTCAGCCCCTGTCCCACACCGTAACTGCAGTCAGCTGTGGTTGAACTGGCGAACGGGATCATGATAAGGAGATCAAGTTTGACGGCTTCAGGGATGGGCTCCCACGTGTTGTGCCTCACATTACGGACAACGGACGGGGAAGGAATATTTGGCTCCGTCGGAAAGCGGCAAGGGGGCAGTTTTTCTCTTTCTCATCTGGTGGCGCTGCCCCTGAGCACACCCTCCATAGAGATGGCATACGCAGCTTCTACGTGACAAGGCATAAGAAAGCTGCGAGCATGAAAAGAGGGAACACATGAATAAAAGTGGGTCCTTCAAGGTGAAGTGGGTCCTTTAGGTTTGGCGACGTATTACAACGCAATGGAGTTAAAACAAGACGCATTTGAGAGTCCGTTCAGACAGCTCATACAGCGTCTGTCTTCTGACCCATCCACCCATGACGGGGTGGGTTCGAGTCGCTTTAGGTACCCGCTGTCTGGCCTCCACAGGTATGGTCTGCGCCCGGTAGAAGCGGCCGCCTCTCAGGTCAGGTCGGATGTTAGATGGCAGGACAGGTCGTGCTGCGCCTTGCAACACGTTAAACTTTCGCCACCAAACTCTGCCGTGGACTTGAAATAAGACGATCAGTGTTGGGATGCTTACACAATAATTGCTGCTTAGCATGAGGTTGGACCCCAGAAAACCATCCTTTAAAAAGGTTCGGATTAAGTCTTAAAACCGTAAAACTGTGCTTTCATGGGAATCACATATTTAAAAACCGCACCCGACTGGTCGGGGACATTTGTGACCTATTTGAACTTTTCCAGCGCACCGGTAAAATAAAACAACCCAATGCCCGCGCAGTTTTGAGCACCATTCCCTCGGGCATGTAGCCAAAAAGTTTCTCACAGTAACCAAATATCAAATTTCGTCAGAAATGCTGCAAATTTGGAACGAATTCATGCGAAATCGCCTAGTACCCAATTTGAGCCTCTTGGCTCAGGGGCCAAGTTGCGCATGGCAACATCCTTGTCTGCGTTCCAGAATATCCTTGATTTTTATGCTGCATATCGTCGGCGATTTTAAACGGGATTGTCGTTTGGGTCCTTGGTACTGGCTTTATCAAATGAACTTATTTCAGAAAACTATGGCTAATCATTTTTCTTTATAAAAACCTGAGACTGATCATCTATTTCAATCGTTATTTGACTGATGAATTTATATTTCTAAAGGAGTTTCGGAAATCGAAAGACATGCATCGTAATAGAAGTGTGTTTGTTTTGGCAATGACCCGAAATACACGGCCTTACCACTCAGGGGTAGTGTTCTTAAGCTGGTTCGTGCCTGAACGGTCAGTCCCTGCCGGAATACTTGCTAAAGGCCATTCCGCTACAAGTCAAAAGACCACAGAATGCTTAAAGATTAAGCCAAACCGGTAAATGCACATGTCTTCAGATATCGGAACGCTCCCGCAATTCACTACAATTCATCAAATTTCTCCATGCCTAAGTAAGTTGTGACGGCTTTAATCTTTGGATTTTGACCCATCCTGACCTCGCCAGCGCAGTGACCTATTTGGACATTCAAAATTACCTTCCGAGTACCAAGCGGATGCCTGAAAAGGTTTTACAAAATTTGCATCTCTTACTTTCTTTTTTGTTTAGCCACGGAAACGTTAAGGAGGCCGCACTTCCCTAACCTCTGCCGAACCCGGCTCATACTCTGTCTTCATTTTAAATCGTAACTTAACTGTAACAAAAAAATCGCCGAAGTTGCACTTCGAAGGATCACTTCAGTACCGTAATAGGCGAACACAACTTTATGTAATGACGCTTTCATGGGAGGCACTTGTACCCAAATGTTTCAAGTTTCGCAATGAACAGAGAAAACACTATAGAACGTGCTTCAGGGTGTGCAATGGAGCGAAAAGATGAGCCAGAATTGCAGGGTCATATATATTTCTGTGCGTTCTAAAGCTACTGCCAAAACACGACGGTGAAAGATGTATACATAATGGGCATTGAAGACAGCCCGCGAAAAGAGCAATCATATCTGAGAAATGAGGGGTTTTGCATCGTACGTACTCTCCAATTCAATAGCAGGTTTCACCTTTCTCTTCAAAAATGTTTTACTATCCAACGGTTGCAGGCACATGATACTCCTATCTCCTACTTTGAACTCTAGGTTCGAAAGAAGAACACATTGAATGTGCTAGGCCAGTTCAGGGGATAATACCCGTGCGCTTTTTTGGAGTCTTTGGCCCCGCAGCGAGAATCTGCGCAAGGGTTGTATTTTCTCCTGCAAGAAGGTTGCTAGCATCAAGGGACTGTCCCATCCTATCCGACGATAGTGGGGACGCTTTCCCCACCTCCCCCCCCCCCCATCCCCTACCCCTCACTCCGATGGCGTCTCCCCTGCTGTTGACACACATGCGATCAATGAGGGAACGACTAGTCCCTTCTTCTTGGAAGATATGCTAGGATAGACCGTCACCATGGACCACGCTCGTCCTCTGGACACTGCGCTGAGGCCTTTCTGGACAGATGATGATGATGTTGGGGTTTTAGGGCGCGCCGACTTCTGGGGTCATTTTTCGCCCACTTCTGTCCCTTCCGGACAGAGCTTGGCGTATGCCGCAGTCTGACTTCAGCCGTCACCCGCAATAGCCGCACCAAGAACGGTGCAAATCCCTATACCATTCAGGGTCCACTCGAGTGACTGTGAGCCCATTGTCTGAACCTGAACCTCAACCACAAGATGAGCAACCCACGCCTCACCCCCCCCCCCCCCCTCCACTCGTCGGGCCTGAGTCCAGTCGGGCTCGGGTCGGGTATGTGTCCACAAACCTCGCGCCACAGAGGGCTGAAGGCCACGGTCGGCTGTAAGGTTGCCTGAGTCACGGCTCAGATGATGGGTAGCACCCTCGCCGACTTGCCGGAGGCTCCTGCCTGGGATCACGCATCGCCGGGGTGCACATCTAGAGCATTTCGTTAGGGAGTTCCGGAGAGGCGGCCCGATGGTCACTCATCGGTGCTCTTGGTAACTGTGATAACCGTGAGGATTATAGCGTGTGGCCAGGGGCGGCGTCACGGAATTTCAGTTGGTGGGAGGCTTTTCAAGCGGGCTCCTGGACAAATCGGTACCCCCTCGCCAGGGACGACGCAGCAGAAGGGTGTGAGGATGGTGCGATCGCCGCCCCCCCCCCCCCCTCCCCTTCCCTCCTCTACAAGAGCATACTTTCTGCACAATTTTTGGGGTGAGTTTGGGATGGGTTTCAATTTTTGGTATTCCCAAACTAAGGATATTGTAGCTACTCGAAGATTACAAAAATTCAGATCAGCCCATGCACTGGATCAGGAGGCTTAAAGTTGCGTTAAAGGGGCCCCTTTGCTGGTTTGGGAGGCCCCTTCACAAAGTACGAGGCCGTTTTCTGGATGAGAAGGTACCCTTTATATCCAGCAGGCCTCATCTCTGGAAAACGAGATCCCTTTCATGCATGGTATTGCCGCGATTCCGAATCAGGATACCCTGTTCTGGGATAACGAAGTCACTTAGCCTTACTTGGAGGCCCGTTCGTGAATCGGAAGCATCATTTTCTGGATAAGGACCTCTATACATCAGGAGGCACTGTTTTAGGCTACCGTTACCATTTGCTGGATAAGTAGAGGTCCCCAGACTGTTTTTTTTAATAGGCAGCATTTGTTCACTTGGATATGGCACATGTAGCAGTTCAATAAAAGAGCACATGCCCTCCGTACCATCCCCCCCCCCCCCTCTGAATACGACACTGCGCATAAGGCGCCCTTGTGGAGAGGCCCTGCTCCCGTGAGTGACAATAGCTTTGATTCCTTCAGGGACCTCACCCCTTCCCCGTTGGCCGGTCTCAGGTGGGGATCCTGTCACTGTCGGGCTAAAATTTATGAAATCACAAAATACTTTTTTATTTTCTTAGTGTTGTTTGCATCCCAACTAATAAAATTAATAAGATCCTGATGCAGGTACCCCATGTTACCGTCCTCAGCAGTCACACAGAAATCTTCAGTTTAGCGACAAATCATCCATCTGGCAACCCTGGCAACACCTGGCGGACGGGGCGTGACGTCACGCGGACGTCACAGGGCGCGTGGCCGGCTGGCGGGCGGTTGCTCCAGCTGACAGCGGGCCGTTGTGAGCAGAGGCGGGGTACACCCGGCCGGTCGTCCACAAGCCGCCCGCGCCGAGCCAGACCGGGGCGGCAGGCGAGCGAGAGTGACGGGGCGGGGTTCGCCGGGGCAGCTGCGTGCGGTGCGTTGCGGCGCCGGGAGCGCGCGCGGCGTCTGGTGCGGGCTCGGCCCGTGAGAGGAGACAGGTGGTGCAGAGGCACGCGGCCGGCGGTGTCAGCGCCCCCGGACATCTGCGCTGCCTCCTCCAGGAGACTCCCACCGTGGTGTAGCGGAGACCGCAGTGCGAACGAGATCCAACTGGGGTCTCACGAACGGTTCTGAGCTTCGCCCGGCAGCCAGAGATCGCCACGGCGGATTCTCACCTCGCGTGGGGCAAGCGTCTTTGTTCTCACGCCAAGCCACTTCGACGGGAGCCCATTGCGAAGGTCAGTAAGTGGCTGTGTGCATGTAGGTATTGTTCTCGGTGAAATGTGAAAAACAGTGCAATATGGGTGACAGATCAGGCGTTCTCAGGACTGTTCTCTGCTTTCCAAGTTGACGCCAGCTGCGTCAGCTCATCCCACCCAGGCTATATGGGAAGGTGATTTCGCTATCGCAGACATATATGGAAGTGGAGCGCGCGGACTCGTTAATCGGGCACGGCGCTTCGCTGCGACACACCTGGCTGTTTCGTCGATCGACACTCGGTAATCGGGCAGGTACAAGCCGGACGGCGGGGCCGAGGCCGGGGCCTGGGGCGGCTGTGGGGGCACCTCAAGGTCCACGGGTCTTGGCTGGAGCGAAGAGTTCCGTCCCGCCCCCGCCCAGCTGGGAGTGGTGACAGACTCCTAGCTCTGTGGGCGGAAATACATCCCTAACAGGGCCGAAGGCAGACAAAATGAAAGTATAGGGTTACGAGAAAACAGTCAGCATGGTCGAGCTGGAATCACGGACACCTGGATTCTGGAGTGCGACAAGCATTTTAGTATCCCAACCTTTGAATTAAGGCAAAGAAATGACGTGCGAGTGTGCGTGGAAATGGCAAAGTAATTAACTAAACAAATAACAGAATGCTGTGGAATGAATGAAATAGCCCTACTGCACGGGATCAACGCCTCGGCATTTCTCTGTAGAATGGTATACTTTAAGAATAGATAATCCAACGCATTCATCGGTACAGCGGGCATAACAATGCATGCTTTCAAGCGCATTCCATGAAATGCGTGGTCGCCCTCAAAGCCTGAAGGAACTTAAAGTATGCCAACGCGATCAGATCCGTAGCCAGAAGGAATTTAACGTATGCCACCACGATCAGATCCGTAGCCACAAGGAACTTAAAGTATACAAACGCCATCAGATCCGTAGCCTGAAGGAACGCAAATTATGCCAACGTGCTCAGATCCGTAGCCAGAATGAACTTAAAGCATACCAACGCGGTCAGATCCGTAGCCAGAAGAACAATTCTCAAAAATGCATCGCTGGCATGGCTCAAGATTCCATGGAATTATGAGGGCGAGGAGGACGATTTTATCTGACGAAAGTTACCATTACTGGAATCTAAAAAGACCCTGGGTCCTTCCCCTCATGTTCCAAAAAGAAACGTTCGGCGTTGGCAGGGGTGTACACGTGAAAGCTGAGGTGAGCGCATCACAGGCGCACGCAATTTTTTACTAGTTGTAAGAGAGTATTGCTATACTTGATCTTATTTTTACGCGTCTGTCTGGACCGTTAGCTCAGCGTTTAGCCACACGGTTATTAGCACTTGCCATATATTTGGGAAGGGAAGGGAAAGAAGGAAGGCATGTGCTCCGGGGGGGGGGGGGGGGGGGGGGTACCACATGCCCACGCCGCTGGGCGCTGGGCGCTGGTCCCTGAAACCTCAGAAGGCGCCGCAGCGAACTCGTATGCGCAAGAGCAAGGGACGATGGTCCATGACGCCGACTTTATAGGAAAGTGTAACATAAGCGTCATGCGGATGCATCTAAAAAAAATACTTGAAGCATGAATCTCCTCCTCCACATGTTAAGTGGCCGCTAAGTCCAGCTAAGCGACGGCTGAGCCTGCTGGTGTGATGCTGCTCAATCAGTACTGCCACTTGGCCTGCCACGGACGGCCCAGCGGACCGGACGGCGTAAACCCAGCTGAACGCATTCCTAAAGCCGTAAAGGAACCCGAAACCTCGGCGGGTTTGACCTGCTCCGTGTCTGAAGATGGCCGCGGCGGTAACGTGGTGGCTAAGCAGCGAACTACGGCTGCGGTGTCGCCAGCTGGCTAGAAAGCTGGGTGCCTTACACGGAATGGCATGCCTAACCAGCTGGAGCTGCGGTATGGCCACCTGGGAGCTGCCTGCCTGACACAGCATGGCATGCCTAACCAGCTGATTAGGGAGCTGCGGTGTCGCCACCTGGGAGCTGCCTGCTTAACACGGCATGGCATGCCTAACCAGCTGCTTAGGGAGCTGCAGTGTCGCCAGCTGATAAGGGCCCTGCAGTGTTGTCAGCTGATTAGGGAGCTGCAGTGTTGCCAACTGGCTAGCGAGCTACAGTGTCGTCAGCTGGTTAAGGAGCTGCAGTGTCACCAGCTGGTTAGAAAGCTGCAGTGTCACCACCTGATTAGGGAGCTGCAGTGTCGCCAGCTGTCTAGGGAGCTGCAGTGTCGCCAGCTGATTAGGAAGCTGCAGTGTAGCCAGCTGATTAGGGAGCTGCAGTGTCGCCAGCTGGCTAGGGAGCTGCCTGCCTAACACGGCGTGGCATGTCTAACTAGCTGTTTAGGGAGCTGCAGTGTCACCAGCTGGTTAGGGAGCTGCAGTGTTGTCAGCTGGTTAGGGATCTGCAGTGTCGCCAGCTGATTAGGGACCCGCAGTGTCGCCAGCTGCTAAGGGAGCTGCAGTTTGGCGTAAGCGTGTAAAGATCGCCCTGGTTTCTGCGAATCGAAGACTTGATTTCCCCCGAACAAAGCGGGCTCTTCTGTTTCATCACAGGGGCTGCGTTTTAGCCGGCTGAAGCTAGTTTCTGCCAGCTTCTGGTTGGACCGACTTTGACTGTTGCGATAGCCCAGTTGGTTAAAGCGCCTGCGCATTCTCCCACCGGTGACGGGGTAAGTTCAAGTCTCATTAGGCGTTCGCCGTCTGCTTCTGACTGGGAAACCCTGCGGCCCGTGGCAGCGACGCTAAAGGTCAGCTGACGCCAAAGGGCGGGACGAATCGTGCTGAGTACTGCGGAACCTTAAGTATACGCCGTAAAGCCATGCTGTTGACTAAGAATGTCACGATCAGGTGGAAGGGCGGTCATGACCCACGTAAGATGCACTGCATAGCGTAGTTGTGGGCGCCTGAAATCCATGCAGTCAAAAGGCATCTCTTAAAAATCGATTAAAGCTGCTATAAACGGGGTGCAACTGCTGAAGCTGGTTATGATCCAGTAGTAGTAACACGTATCCTTTTTGCGTGTGATCATGGGCACTTGACAGATCACTGACGCGTTAACAGAATGCTCCTGATATGCGATATTCATGGTGACATTGTTTCCTTCCAGTTCATCAACCAGTGACAGTACACTGATGCCACGGCATTATTATGTGACAATACAAATTATGCAACATAAGTTGATCGTATTATGATCACCGACTGGTGTAGCACCGTGTAAAAATAGGAAAACAATCTTAATGGCAACTGTGGCTCCATAGGGCTTTGTTTTGGGGCCTTTGAGTCTTATACTCGTAACCAGCATTGCATATATGCTGGACAGCAGGGTTTAGAAGTCCACAGACGACCTGAAAATGTCCCGGGCAAGTTGAAACAAAAGTGACTATGACATGCTACAGAGAGATGAAGACAGGCTTGCTAGGTAGCCTGAAACATGGCAAATGAAATGTAACTTTTGCAAGTGCAAATAACATGAAGCAAGAGGGCAGTTATGGAGTTACATGCTTAGGTGGCTAAAAATTACCTTTGACCGAAAGGGAGTTACGTGCTTGGGTGGCCAAAAATTAGCTTTGATCGAAAGGGAAGGAGATCTAGGTGTTGTTATCAGCAAGCTAGTGGTATCAGATGACGTTGTAGATCCTGGGAATACACTCACGATGTTTATGTTATGAATATCATTAAGAATCGCTGCAATTAGTGATGAAATATGCAAAAGCAAAAGTCATTAGTACACTTAATGGTACATATGTGAGGGCGCGTTGGGAGCACTGTGCCCAAGTTTGGGCCGCGACTTATGAAAAGTGGGTGGGCTTTTTGAGGAGGTGCAAAAAGGGGGACTAAAATGGTCATCGGTGTGTGAAGTTTGATACCATAGCAGAGAACTCGCGCGAATACAGGTGTATATATATATATATATATATATATATATATATATATATATATATATATATATATATATGGCTTATTCGGGCCCTTAGTTGTACGCGTCGCGTGGTTTTCATATTAATGCTCAACGATCTATTGACTGACCACTCGTTGTCAGCAATTTGTTTGGGCCATCTGATTGGTGGACTTTATAATTGAAGGAAACGGGCACATACGGAGCATACATGAAGAACATATTACACAAATGGTCCACACGCTGTTATCCGCGAGTGTAGCCCGTCATGAAAGCGCCTGAGCATAGTTACCAACGGGCTTGCTGGCTTGTCCCGTATCATCGGAGAGGCCTGGACGCCTGTGGCCCGTGACCTGGCCTCTGACTTGGCCGCTAGTCGTGAACACCCCCAAGGGGAACCCCGCGCGCTAGTGAGCGGCAGGCGTGTTCCTTCGGCGAGGTTCGGTCATGATGCCCACGGCGGTCACGTGACCGGGAGGGTCCACCGCCGCAGGGCTCGCCCGGGCACCACGCAGCGAGGCTGGCCGGGCAGACCGGTCCCAATCATTCAGATATGATAAGCCTAGCTCGTGTCGTTATCGGCTAGCCCTATTTCGCAGGGCAAAGAAAACGGTGATGGAATTTGAAGGCCTTTTCTCCGTGCGGCTCTCGGCACCCGGGATTCCGGCAGGCTGTTTTCGCTGATCATTGTGAATTTTGGATGTTATGAGCGCTGGATGCTGCAGTTGTGGATCTTTTGACCATTGGACGTTATTAATTATGGATGTTTCAATACGCATCTTCGACTGTTGGTTTTACTTCAAGGGACTGAGGCTTTCAAAACGGGTTTTAACATCATGTGCTGAGACATTGGCGTCGTGACGTCGTGATTAGTGTGGTATCCATTTTTTTTACTTTCATTCCGCTTTACGCCAGTGCATTTTTGTAAATCTCAGGCAGGGAGCTAGAATTGCTTTTGAACTAGGGTGGGAGTGAAAAATCCCATCGCAAAAGGACCGTGCGGGAGTGAAAAATCAATTCACAAAAGATGGAACTTATGAGGTCGTGACTGATGCTTCAGCAAGAAAAGACATCTATTTCAAGTTGGCATGGACATAATATCAGGAACCTCACAAAGCTATTTC